AACTTAAAAATCATGTCATGCATGTGGTAGCGACTTTATTTCCATAGAAAGATAGGGTCGTTACAGTTTGTATTAGAGCCTAGGCTATAGATCTGGTAGACTAACCTACTAGGTAGGCTTAGCATGCTACATGGTTCTATTGTTGATGCTCCGTCATCATCAAATATATCCTATGAGAAACATAATAAATGTTTGTTGAATGGTATTGTTATTGAATGTCATGCGTGATATATATGTTATGTATACCATGGGTTTGAGGGTTGTAGACTTAGATATTAAGTATTGATTATAGATCATGCCACCTAGAGAACGTAGAAGGGACAAAAAGGAGGACGACTCCCTACGACAGGACGAGGTAGGGGTAGAGGGAGTCTGGCTCGCGAGGGATTCCTAATTTGAATTGACGCAACAGCGTCCCTCACAGCAGCGCTTACAACTAGAGTAGACCTCACAACGAGCATGATGTGGAATCATTTCAAGGCGTAGTGCAAACGATAGTGGCCTCCCAACAGACTACTAGTGCGCAATCCGTGTGAGAAGCAAGGTATCTACGAGATTTCAAGAGATATGATTATCATGCCTTTAACGAAGTTGCAGAAGATCCGACCGTAACACAATTATGGTTGAAAGAGATTTTTTAAACCAAATACAAAATTTAATAATGAAATCATCTCATCTACTTCACTCTAATAAACCAAACAAACATCCAATTCACACATCTCGATCAACACCCCACAATTAGCTATAAAATAAATCCCAAAAACTTTAATTCACTCCAAATAAAAACAAAACAAAATTTGTCGAACCCACCCAAGATGGGTTTTATGTCATGAATCACCAAACCAATTTCCAAAAAGCTTATGTGACGAGTGATCACTTAACCATATTTTAACAACAAAACAAATACCCTTCAATAATATAACATTTCTAAACCCTAAGTCACGAGCATAACTCTAATAACTCGAGTTTCAAATGCCCCAACCACCATTAACTATCGTACACTATTGGTAAATTTTTTTCTTTTAACAATCATGAACCTCACATAGAAAACACTAAACAAATGAACTACTCGAAATATTTTTGTGATTAATATTTTAGTTTATAATATGCTTAAACTCGATATAGATTGGTAGGGTCGGAATCAATTAGGGGTAAGATTTTGTATTTTTGTTCGATTAAAAAACTAAAAAAATTTATCATTAAAGTTGTTGGAAGGTCGAATTCTGAAAATAAAGTTCTAACAAATTAAATTAATGCACGAGTCAACAAAAACTCATTAAGTTCTATATAAAGCCACCCTAGTCTAGTCGAAATTTATTTAATCAATTTCATATAAAATATCTATTTATGATTCAATTAAACTAATAAGAGAAAAAAAAAATTAATTTATTGAGAATTATTCAAATAAAAACCTATCTAAAGTAAAAAGATGCAAACTTTGATGTGATGGCGATGGGCGATGGTGATGATTTGAGAAATAATTGGTTGTTGAAATCAGCCGCCGGAGTTGTCCATGCCAATGTACGGCGGAAATTCAGCCACGTCCCTCCCCTTTTTGCTTTCTCCAAATCCAACTTTCTCTTATGTCCTTCCTTTTTTATCAATTTATAGCATAGGGACAAATATTTAGACTAATTACAAACACAATCCAATCCACTATCACTTTTTTCCTTTTTGCTCTTTTCTTTTTCCTATCTGTCATGTTATTTAAATCCATTTTTTTTTTAAATTTACTTAAAAATGAGTTTGGGGTTCGGGGTTCGGGGTTGAGTATTGAAAATGATTTGCTAAATAATTCCTCGTAATTTTATTGATACAATATTGAAGGATAACCCATCGCAAATATAAAGATACACTCAGTTTAAATAGTAGCATCACTTAAATGTTACTCGTTTTTTTAGTGAGTCAAAGAATTGGAGTTCCTTCAGAAATCAAAAGGGTCTCGACACGAGAAATTAAATTATACAATTAAATTTAACTTTCACAATTTAAATCAATTTAAATTCATTATTGTTTTTTTTTTTCTTTTTTAATGTAGTAAGTGAGGTATCAACTCTAATATATAATATATTAATAAGTGAGATGTTAGAAAATATTTTTGAATAGTTTTGCCCTTATTTAATTTATTAATTTACAAAATATGTAAATTAAATTTTTTAATTAAAAACCTTTTGTCATTCCCTTTTTCAAGAAGTTAAAAAGAGTTTTAATTTTTTTTTAGTTTGAATTGTTTTTTTTTTAATTATTTAAAAATCATATTTTCCATAATATATGTTAAACTAAATTCTCATAAAACTTAAATATCATTATCATCTATTAGAAACACAAATATTTTTTATCTTCGTAATAATCTTAAAAGTATGGTTCGATTGGATAGTAACCTTATTTTGGGATCAAAACAACTCTTTTGTACTCTAATGCCACAACAAAAATGTTCTAATACTTAATTGTTGTAGTAGAAGCCGAAGTAGAAGCAAGATCAATCGCACTCGCACACCCACAAATAGAAATTAAACAAAAAAAACACAAATATTTACGTGGTTGGAAGAGAAGAAATTAACCTACATTCACGAGTGGTAGCCAATCATAACCAAAGTGTTTACAAATGAAGTTCTCACACTCTCACACTACAAAGTCTCTCTTACAAAATTAAATACAAAATGACAATGACTCTACATGATATGAACTTAGAGACATCAATCATACAATATACTTCAATGAAGATGTGAAGAAAATATTGTTGAAATTATCAAAAGATATTTCAATTCATGCCACGTTGAATAAGAATGAAGTTTCATGTTATAAATTTTGGGTAAATTACAATTGAGAGTTATTGTATTTCATTAATGTATTTTAAGACTTTCTATTTAATTTAGATTACAATTACATAATGGTTAATTATGGCCATTAAATAGGAATGTTACAACCTCTTGGAATGCCTTTCATAGTTTCATTTTGAGGCTACATAAATTCATGTATATTGTATTTGTAAGTAGACTTGGAAAATATAGTAAAATGAGCATTTGTGCTTTCTTGAGCCAATGACTAAGTTTCTTTGCAATTCTATGTAGTTTAGGTTGCATGTAGAATCATTCAAGCTCGACATGATCAATCTTGCTTGTGGAGTGATTTGAATCTCAATCAAGTGTTCTTGCTTTGAGATATTTGATCAAATAGAATCATTCAAGCTAGACATGACCGATCTTTCTTATGGAGTGATTCAAATCTCAAACAATGTTTTTGCCTTGAGATATTCAATCAACAAGGTAATCCGAATCTTACTCCCCTTGTAGTGATTTCCACGTATCACTACACCTCGAAACAATGCTAGACAAGCTTTTATATATGCATAACAATATTAATTGTCATACATAAACCAAATAAAGGAGAATATAAACCAAAAGAGTTATGAACTAAGCAAGAGTTATGAACTAATAGAGTTATGAACTGAGTGAGAGTTATGAACTGAGTGAGAGTTATGAACTAAGAATATGAACCAAAAACGTTACGAACTAAATGAGAGTTATGAACCAAAATAAAGAAGAATATGAAGTTATGAACTAAACGAGAGTTATGACAACACATATTCATGACAACTTACAACACTCAACCTCCGAAGCGACCCAAATTTTCAATTATCTACAAATGCAACCCAACCTGTAACGATTCAAATAAAAGAAAAATGATTCAGTCATCGAAAGACCCAGAGATTTATGGCGAGGTGTTAAAGATCTTGGGCAACCAACCACCCACCCATGGCCCTCCTACAAAACGCCCCCACGCAGCCATATGTATCCCGGAGACTTCACCTATAGAGATAGAAAGTGAGACACAAAGAGAGAAGCAAGGAGAAGGCGAACGATTATTTTTCGAAGAACAAGATGTCGATGAGATATAGGGACCCTCCCGAGCATGCTACAAAAAATGGTGCATACGTGGTGACAAGGAATCGACGACCCCAAGCGCACAGAAGGTAAGGCACTCGCATTTGATATTTGAAGGTTTGCTGATGAGTACGAACGCTTACACTACAATGATGATGAATATGAACGTGTACACTATGATGATGATCATGATGATCATTCCTTTCATGATATTCGAGGGTTTGCTGACCTTTGGATGTTTAGCTATAGTCAACTAGCTCGATTATGATGGGCCCAAGGGGTATGCGAACCGCTTGGTGGGCTCACGCTCGCACCTAGGTCGTGTGTAGGGAAGTACTACACATCAAATTTGTCTAGACTAGAGGGCACATTTATGATGGTTTTAATGATAGGTCCGTAATCATGAGTTGCATGTGTTTGCATTCCTCAATCCTAGTGAGGTCACTTACCGACTATTTTTTAAAATACTCACGTAGTGTGCTACTTCTATGTTTAGAATAATTGTATTTAAATTCTTAGACCTTAGATTAATAGGGAGTCTTGCCGTTTTAATATTTACTTTGTTTTATTTAATATTTGGTTTGTATTGCTTTGAAGACATTTTCTTAAACATGTCATTGTCTTACGAAAATGTTTTAATTGATTTTTTCTACATGAGAGATTCGAATATGAGGATGGTAGCGACTTTAGATTAGTAGAAATCTAGGGTCGTTGCATGTTAGGATCTCTCAACAATGCACACATTTGATCAAGATGAATTGTTGCATGTTAGGATCACTCAACATTTCTCATCCCCGTCATCGACTCTGGTGCTGTCACAATTCTCGTCTCGCCCCATCGATTAATCCACGCTTTTGGAAACTCCACTAAAATAAATAAAATTTCTTATGATGATAGGAATATGAAACAGGAGGCGTGCTTCTTCATTCCCACTCGGCCCGTGAAAGATGAAATGAGGTTAAGCAACAAGTAGTTTGTTTAAAAAAATACAGTTTCATGTGTTAACAAAAACAAAGGAAAGAAGGAAAGGAGGAGGGAGGGGAAGGTGGGGTTAAGAGAGAGAGACAAAAAGACAGCAGCAACAAGCGGAAAAGAAAGCCCCCAAAGCCCCAAATTGCTATTAAAGCCACCATTATAAACACCATCCACACAACACAACGGTTCATACAATTTTTTTTTTTCTCTTTTCTTTTTTGATCTTAATCCAACAATCCCTCAACTCTTCGTCGTTCTCGTGTTCCCATCTCCAATAGTGAAATGAACCCACCCTCTCTGTAGCATCCTCCTCCTCTGTTTCTCAAATCCGCCATGGCAGACCACAAGAAGAAGAAGAAGAAGAGGAAGAACAACATTCAAATTCTCATCAGAGAATTCGACCCCATTAAAGACAAACCTTCCGTTGAAGATGTTGAACGACGATGCGAAGTTGGCTCAACCAAAAACAAAAACTTCTCCCTCTTCACCGATCTCCTCGGTGACCCAATTTGCAGAGTCCGCCATTCCCCTGCCTTTCTCATGCTCGTAACACTCTTTTCCCCCCCACCCTTTTTCTTCTCCCCCTCAAATTTCATCCCCAATTCTCAAACACTTCATTCATTCCTTCATTCAGGTCGCGGAAATTGCCGCCCACAACGAGATCGTCGGCATGATCAGAGGCTGCATCAAGACTGTTACTTGCTGCTCTAAATCCACTAGAAATGCCGGAATTAACGCCTCTGATCTCCCCCAGCTCGCCCCTGTTTACACCAAACTCGCTTACATCTTAGGCCTTCGCGTCTCCCCCGATCACCGGTAAGGAATTCAAACAAAACAAAAAACAGAGTATTCATACATTAAGAGAAAACAGAGTATTCGGAAAAACAGAGTATTCATAGATTAGACTAAGAATTGATACTGTATTTGTAGGAGATTGGGGATTGGATTGAATCTGGTAAGGCGAATGGAGGAATGGTTCAGAGAGAAGAAAGCGGAATATTCATACATAGCTACAGAGATTGACAACGTCGCTTCAATTAAGCTATTCACCCATAAATGCGGCTATTCCAAGTTCAGAACGCCGTCGATTCTCGTGAACCCTGTTTTCGCCCACCGGCTCCGACTCTCCGACCAAGTCACCATCCTCCAGCTCGAGCTGACTGTCGCCGAGACACTGTATCGGTGTCGGTTCGCGACGGCGGAGTTTTTCCCGCGCGACATTGACGCGGTGCTCTCCAATCGGCTAAGCCTCGGCACATTTCTAGCAGTGCCACGTGGGAGTTTTACAGATGGGTTGTGGGTCGAGTCTGATCGGTTTTTGTCGTGTCTGCCTGAATCGTGGGCGGTTTTAAGCGCGTGGAATTGCAAGGACGTGTATGCGCTGGAAGTGCGTGGCGTGTCCGTGGTGAAGCGAGCGATGGCAAAACTCAGCCGTGTGATTGATCGAGGGCTGCCGTGGTTGCGGCTGCCGTCAGTTCCGGAGGTGTTTAAGCCATTTGGAGTGCTGTTTTTGTATGGGGTAGGAGGAGAAGGCCCACTCGCAGGGAAGCTGATGAAGGCGCTTTGCCACCACGCGCACAATTTGGCAAAGGAGCGTGGCTGTGGTGTGGTGGCTACGGAGGTTTCAAACGATGAGCCGCTCAAATCCGACATTCCACATTGGAAAAAACTGTCATGTCCGGAGGATTTATGGTGCATTAAACGCCTTGGTGAAGGCTACACCAACAACTCCCTCGGCGATTGGACTAAATCGCCGCCCAGCTTCTCCATATTCGTTGATCCTAGAGAATTCTAATTCACCCCAATCCCTACCGCTACTTCCATTCATTGTTTGCCCCGAAATAAAATAAGATATCATTTTTATAACGAGTAATGTTGAATGGAAAGAGTATGTAATACCATTATACGGTCAAATTATGAGGGTATTATATGAACGTTTTCCAATCTCTTCAAATTGAAATTAAAAAAAACCATTATTTTTTCTTCTTCCGTTCGTCTATTGTTGGGTTAAGAGATCGAACTATCAACCTTTGAAATGATAATGAAAATGATAATTTGTGTTCAAATGGATGAGATCGACTATAACGTAGATAAAAGGGTTCATTGCGCAAGACCCACAATAGTACATTCTTATAGTTATTTGAGTACTTGTTGTGCGTTGGATGACCACTTTTAGTTCATGTTGTGCATTCTACTTGTCCATACATCGTGGAATGGATTTTTGGTATCCTACAAAAGAATCTTAGTTAACAAGTCATTTTTAAAAGACAAGGCATATGAAAAGTAGGGTAACAAGATTGGAAGAAAGTTGTTTTTGTTCCGACTTTTAAAAAATTAGGGCCTGAACCTCAACGCTCTTTAAACATATTAACTTCTAATACAAATTGAATCGAAATAGATAGACATTAACTGATTCAAATTGAATCGGGTGAGTCAACCGTTAGAATTGGAGCCTTGATTCCCATCCCCGAGTCGAATTTCAATCCAATCCACGTGACGTTTTATCTCAAATACTCAATCGAATCCCCAAATGAGGCTACTATGCATAAATCCCGTGAACCCATTTAGCTTTTTTTTGGGTCCAAACCTAACCCCATGTCCCGTTGTCGTTGCAGCAGGTGGCGGCGATACCACCACTTATTCTTCATCCAACAGCTAAACCTTTTCAGCTCACCATCATGTTTGACTCCCCTGCTGTTTCAGAACATCGTCTTCAATATCTACAACGTTATTATTAAAATATATTTTATACAGTCATGATCGGTTAACATTTTTTTCACTTTTTTTTTCCATCTTTCAACTATTACGTTTGGTTAATAGTATATTTGGTATATTTTATCTTATTTTTATAAAATTTAGTTTGCATCCTAATTAAACCGCTAGAACATGAATTAAAATCAGTCTTTCAATCCCATTCTGGTTCTTCATTTTTGGCATGGTATTAGAGTTTCTTATTCTTAACCATTCTTAACATTTTTTCTTTTTCATGTTTCAACTCTTGGTAGCATCAGTTTTGATGCTTTCTGGCCACCAAGCTTCCTTCAACTTTAAAGGTCTATCAGATGCTAGGATCATAATCAATAATGTAGGATTACTACTTTTTTGTTTATCAGTTTCATGTGGCCATTTTCGTTTAAGGGTCGAAATGGGAGATGAACATTCATATAAGAATCAAGAGAGATTTTCCTTTGACAGTTAAATGGGTCGAAAATTCCGTACTTTGGTAGCTAAATGGGTATCAAAATATATATACACATATATATTATGTGTTTGAGTAGATTGAATACTATGTTGTAATATCGAAATTTGAGTTTTAGAAATGATGGAAGTAGAAAATTATATTATATTTTTGTTTATTTATTAAAATGTATATTAAAGAAACAACAAAAAAAAATCAAAATTTCCACATTAATTAACATTTTAATATATTTTGTAAGTGTACTTGTAAAAGCATATATTAGGACCTAGAAAAAGAAAAAGTGAGAAAGAGAGAGAATATTAAGGGACAAGAAAACATAAAAGTAGATAAAAGATTACATCAATGGAAATATATCTACACAAATTTTATAAGATAAAAGACCCAAACCTAATCAAAATAGAGAGCAAAAAGGATGATATTGGACTATAGGAGATACTCCTCAGAATATAACTAATTTTAAAAATTTCAATAATATTAAAAAAAAGTATATTAACCGCTCATTTAAAAATAACTTTAAACTTTGAAAAGTTTTATTAATACACTTAATTTTTATTTTTAAAAGTTAAAAAATACTCTTAGAATTAATATTAGGTTCAAAACCTACTCATGAATTTTCAAAAATAGTATTAATATTCGCAACTTTCTAAAATGTCGTCAGCCAGGCGCCTTGCCTTTACCTGAAAAATGATGTAGCACATGGCCTAAATATTTTGAAAAATACTCAGTAAGTGAGCCCTCTATCTCTATAGGGGCCTGCTCTAAGTACCTGTCGTTAAAATCATACTAGGGGTAGCCTCTAGTCCAGACTAAATTGGGTGTGCAGTAATTCCCTACACATAACCCATATGTGTGAGTGTGAATCCCCAAGCGGTTCGCACTCCCCCTAGACCCATCATAGTCGAGCTAGCTGTCCGTAGCAACGTCCAGAGGTCAGTAGACCCCTGAATGTCATGCACAACATGATCACTATTATCATCGTAGTGTATGTGTTTATATTATCATCGTAAAAAGAGAAGTATCCCAATGTTTATGTACACATAGCAATACATGAATTCCCTACGGTTTCTCGTCTTTAAAAACATATTTATGACACAACCCTAATTTCATCTTTATATTAATATGAGTAATATACATGCATTAGTCTTCTTCTTTTCATATCATTAATATTAACCAAGGTTATGTCCTTGTGAAAATCATCCTCATAATACAATATGACATTCATAACATGCTTCTCATCTTAATATGGAACTTTACGTCATATTAAGGATATAACAACATCTTACATCATTATATTAACATGCATCGTCAACATAAACACATCATCAAATGTCATCATAGACTTATACACATCATCATGCATCATACAACATACATCATAAATCATCATCAAAGCATCATCCGCATAAAACATAAATGACATGTGTCAGTGCTACTAGGCACATATTGTCATACATCAAACAATTGTCTAGTTTGTCCTATAGTAAGGCCACCAACTTGTTTGCTAAGTTTCCGTTCCTTGAAACTATTTCAAATGTCATTGAGGATCGTATCCTATTAGGTCTTGTTAGGTCTTGCAGTGTCTTTCGTTAGTATTTCACAATTCTAATATAAATTCAACTTAAATTTGTAAAATAAGTCACTCTAATGGCCTCGATTACCTTAACGATCACTATAATTTTGTACCACCTAGGCCGAATAACAGGTTTTTGAGCTACCGAGCCGAAGCTAGAGCCGAGCAGATTCAAACTGCTGGAGCTAAATAACTGTTTGCTGCAGGTGATGACACGTGTCTCCGTGACAGAGGAACACGTTGCGACACACTTCTCGGGTCGAGGCACTGGAATCGGGCCACCTAACACGGGTGCGTGGGTCGCGGCTACTGTAGGTCTGGGCTGACATGGGTATTGGGCTGTTGCAGGTGGATTGGGCCAACGTGGTTATTGGGTCGAGTTGCTACAGGTTGCTGGGTTCGCGGGCTGAGGCGTTGCAGATCTGGGCTCCGGCGTTGGCGTGGGTTGTTGCTTGAATCTAACCTGGATCCGGATCCGGTGGATCCTTAATTCTTCACTCGAATTTGCAACTTCTGACTTCCTTCTCTCTCCTCTTCGCGGCCATTTTCGACGACGTCGTTTTCCGTCCTTTTTCCTCCTCCACCTCTTGTCAGTCTCTCTTCTTCACCTCTTGTCAGTTGGTCTGAGACATAATTATGAGCTGAATGCTACAAAGTCTCCCAGTATGTTATTTGGAGCAATACATATATCCCACCTCAACACTCCAAGGGGCTAAGAATCAACTAAAATTGACCAAACATCGGTAAAAAATAGTGGCAAAAAGAAAAAAAAATCTGGAAAAAGGCCTCGAATCTGTGCCTTAGGCTTCAGAGCCAGAGCTAGTTCGCTCGGTTCGAAACCCACATCCATCAGCCAGCCCATGTAGACGTTGTAGCCCAGACCCAATTCTGTTTCAGCCCAGATGAACTCCATCCACCAGCGCACCCAAGTGTGCAGACCCCCGCAGGCCACAGATGCCTTCGGCCTAAAGCACATGTCTAGCATGCGTCTGCGTTCAGCAACCACATCACGAGACATCCCACCTCAAATACAACCCATACCTGGTCCAGATTTTTCCGACTCGCGTCTCACCTAGACCCAGCGCGCCAACCGGAAACTGCGAGTACACCTCCCTCCGCATGTCACAATTGATGATATCGATTGTGCCCCAAGAGAGTCATCAAGGACGATGAATAGGTTAGGTGGGGCAGAGTGTCACAACCTCACTAAGAGGAAGTAGGTTGTGACCTACACATGGAAGACAGACAAGGGGTGACCCTCAAGTGACACCCATCGGGCCACATTTTGGCCAAGATTGAGAAGTGTTATGATGCGACCAAGAGGACGATACATCATCCAACACACCAAGAATGTGCATTGAAGCTAAGTTGAGGCATATGCGGTTGGAAAATAAACTTAAATGATTTTTTTTTTTTTGATTTTTTTTTTAATTCAAGTCAAAAGTGGCATAATTATCTTAGAGGAGATGAGAGCTAATGGGTGAGAAAATTACTGAAAGGAGAGCAAATGGCTGATAAAATCATGGGTAGTAAAGTCCAATTTTGGCAAAAAAGCTTATAAAAGGGCTTTATTTATCGATGTAACAGCAGACAGAATAGAGAGCAATCTGAGTTACTGAGTAATACCAAACCCTTTTTGGCAAATTTCTTTTGTCTCCTCGTCTCTCCCCTTTCGACGCCCCTTTCGAGTTATCTAAACGAGTTAGATTCAGAGTGAGCATTTTTTTCTCTCAAGTTGGTATCGGAGCGGCTTTATTTTTCTACAAATTGGTATCATAGCAATTTAATTTCAAGAAATTGGTATCAGAGCCGATGACGAACATGATGGGACAAATGCCGCTAGCATGATTGACGAAGACAAACTATGAGAATTGGAGCATCCAAATGAAAGCTCTTCTCGGTTCGCAAGATGCATGGGAGGTGGTCGAAGATGGTTTCGAAGAACCGATTGATACCACGGGTTATACGGTGGTGCAAAACAAGACGCTAAAGGAATTACGGTCAAAGGATAGGCGGCATTATACATGCTGTTCTGGGCTGTTAACAAGTCGGGGTTTGAGAAGATTGCAAGGGCAACTACTTCAAAAGAAGCGTGGGACACTCTAGAAAAATGTGTTAAAAGGAACCGACCGAGTCAAGCAGGTGCGTCTCCAAACTTTGCATGGCAAGTTGGAGAGCATGAAGATGAAGAAGTCAGAAAATGTATCTGATTACATTACTCGTGTACAGACCGGGGCGAATCAGTTAAATCGAAATGGAGAAATGTTACCCGAAATGCGGGTTGTGGAAAAAAATCTTGAGGTCATTAATAGACAACTTCGAGAATGTTGTTTGTGCCATAGAAGAGTCGAAGGACCTGACGAAGTTCACAATCGATGAGCTTGCCGGT